GGAGAGAAAAAAAAAAAGACCCCCAAAAAAGAAAAAACAAAAAGAAAAAAAAAAAAAAAAAAAAAAAAAAATATATATATATATATATATATATATATATATATATATATATATATATATATATATATATATATATATATATATATATATATATATATTCTGGAGCAGATCTTTTAAATGATGTGTTGAACATATTTGTTTATTTTGGCCCATTGTTGTGCTTGCTCCAGCAAGACAGTGTTCAATTGTGAGAGCAGCTGGATATGTGACTGATGCAGAATTTCAGAAATGTTCCCAGAGATGCTTGATCTTATCTCTTTCTGTGATGCGCTGACTCTGCATGTTTCTTCAGATTCAGCTATTTGGATTTTTTTTTTCTTTCATCCAATTATTATGCTCTACTTAAAAAAATCATTTAATCTCCAATATTGTCCAGTTGAGAGTGGTATTATTCTTACAATTCCAATTAATGTAATAATAAAAGTCCATGTTGGATAACCTCTAATCGTTTTTGATCCCATCTGATCAAGTATTTATGTTCTCCTCAGCAAATTTAGTGTATTTCACAATAAAATGTCTATGCCTATAATTGTTTATGATCCCATCAGATGCCATTTGACCAATACACTTTGAAATTCATGTTGTTTATTTTGATTCGATGTCATCTAATCTATGTTAAATCAGTATGTGGAAGATAATGCAATCTTATCACCTCTGTGGTTCATCCAGATTGTACACAATTTTGTTGGATCTCCTTCCTCCATTCCTCCACATATTCACTCTCTTCTGCTTATCTGAGGTCTTGCTGTAAAAGTAGCAAGGCAATTTCAAATCCATCGGTGTCTCTAACAACACTTTAAAGTTTTTTCTAAGGGATATATTAATCTCCAATCAGCACTCTGTCTTCCTTGTGGAACAGAGGTGGAAAACCTCCAAAGGTAGAGGTTCATGAAGCTTGGATACTTAAACCGTGTCAAAATGACCCCTTTTGATGCAAAGGAGCAGCAGCAGCTTTGCTATACCCATGACTGATTTTTGTCACTTGGCAGTCATAAAACTGAGTGCACAACAATTACCTGCAAAGTTCTCCAAGGCTCTATTATCAGGCCACTTTCATTCAATATCTATTATTCTCCCAGCTCAAATTATGGAATAATGCAACATATCTTACAATGGACGTGCTCAGATGTTGTTATGAACTTTAACAACTACATAAAGCCTACCACTTTATCAGCATATTTACACTTACAAAATTTACTAGAAGACTTTTATCAAAAAGAGGACAAATCTATTGCAGCAATTTTGAAGCCAATCAGCATATAAAGTTGATTCAGATTCCAAATCTAAATATTTTTGAATTGTTGTTCTTACGTTTAACTCTATATAGGAAAAACAAACAAACAAAAAAAAAACAGAGGTGGAGCGGCTCATCAATTCATGCATCTGCTTGACTGTTACATACAGGAAACGCTGCGGTGCTGCTTGTGGTTAATGAGGCAGTGATACAAGCTGAGAAAACAAAAGACTGTTAGTCATCAGGTTCAAGTGCCATTTGGCTTTAAAACATGTTGCAATACGCATGCAATAATCAGACTCACCATCTTCAGCAAACAACTGATTCCACGTGTGATTTAGAGAAAGATACCATTCTTCGGAGTCATATAAGGTAAACCGAAACAGTGACCATTAATGTTACAACCTATCAGCATGGTGCGACGACAGAGTAAATTAAAAGAAATCTGAGTCAGATTCACCGGAATATGGCTTTTGCGTATTGGACAAACATTCCTTTGTGAGGTCAAAGTGTCGTTCTTCTAATGTAAGTAATCTGGATAAAACAGACCATAATTGCAGGTAAAAGACATACTTGTTTTGTTTCTATTTGTCTGAATAAACGCAATTGCAAAATTCAGTTCAGCAATTACTAATCAGGCATAAGTCAAGGAGTATCTAAAGGTTAGGATAACATCATGCATGTGACTGTGTGAGTGTGACATATTTTTATTTTTTTTTTCTGTGCATTTCCTCATTTGCTGCTAAACATAGTGTCGTAAAAAAAAAAAAAAATTGAATTAAGCATCACACAGCAAAAGAGTTTCAATAATGAGACAGTGTTTGACCTAAAATGGTCAAAGACAAACAAACACATACACGCACACACCCACCCACGCACACGCACACACACACACGCACACACACACACACACACACACACACACTCTACAGAACTACAATTTATTTCTGCAAGGTGTAAAGAGGTGATGCTTTACAATGTGCATAAATTATTTCACAAGTTTCAAGGATAAACATTTATATAAACAAAGTAATGTACAATTATTAGTGTTTTTAAAGGGGGGGTAATCCTTTCCATTGTTGTTTATGACAGTGCCCCCCAATAGGCAGGCCAAATGTCGTTTGGGGCCCAGATTAGAGTTCCTTTTGGGGGTCCACTTCCAACTACACTCATCACAGGATGAAGGAAGCTTTAATGTTTAGTTCACAGGCAAACAAACCAGGCTGTTACTCACTGATCTATACCAACAAACAGTGACAGTGTGTTCATGAACTGTGCCCCTCAGCTAAGACACATGAAGCACAAATTAATAAACTAGCATCAAATGTAGACGTGTTATTGCATCTTTCAAATTCTGAAGGTGGTTTAATGTGCGATCTAGATCACTGGTGGTGCATTTTGAGCATATTCATTCCAAGAAATTGTCATTTCATCACTTATGCTGCTATTCCAGTAAAAAAAATATATATATATATAAACTTGTCCACTTCATTTCCATTGCTTATCAATTAATTTGTCCTGGTAGCTATAAATAGTTTAATTTAATTGTGTATTATTTTACTGAATATACTTCATTTCACCTTACTTGCACTGATTGCTGTTTTAAACCCAGTTTGGACCATTTTATTTTTTAATTTTTGAATATAACAAATGTTTCCTGATCAAACTAAAATAAATCTAATGTGTGGAATATTTTTAGCAACGTCACATAACTCCTTTCCTCACTGCAGGTCATAAGCAAGAGAGAAAATGACTTTAAATGAACTGATACCTGGTTCATGTAGAATGTCATATGGATGAAGGAACCATTTGGAAAGAGACAAAAGTCAGGGATGAAATGACCGACAGTCAGAAAGTATGAAAGCTCAAAGTTGCAACCTTGAGCTGTTGTGTAAATTCAAGTGGTCTTGGACCCCCAGGCCAGCAAGGCCCCATGAAGAGGCAAAGTCTGCTTATAATTTGGGTGAGCTATTTATAGGTGTTTAAAGTGTAAACAGTGTTTTTGTTCTTTTTTAATACCATTGTCAAATAAATCAGATTGTTTTAAGCTGAAAAGCTGAACCGGCAAATCAATAAAAGTTTCGACCTTATATGGCTTAACATATTTAAGGTCAGTAGTTAATTACCCAAAATAGCAGTGACACCGCATGCTGCAGTTAAAATAAGAGAAATCCTGTGACTTCTGGGCTACTACTCTGCATACTTTCCCCAGGAATGGAATGCTGCTGCTCCCAAAAGGCAGACAGAGCGGGTGGGGAGGGGGAGCGTCGCTGTTTTCCCTCCGTTAAAGCACATTTTTGAATACCTTGTAGCTCAAACCTGGCCATGGAAGTGTGCGCTCACAGAACAGGCGGCTCGTCTGGCGGAGAGAGCAACAAGTACAGCAAGTAAACTGCTGGCAAACCGACTTTGATTTGTTTTGTAAAGTAAGCAAAAGCGGTTGCCAGCAGTATCTGTCTTCTATTTCTGGCCTTCCCCCCGGCCCCGGGCCCCCCTCTCTAGACTGACGTCAGCAGAAAGTTATTTTCATGAATGGAGGGGGCGGTCACGAGGAATCGGTGACGTGAGCGCTTGCGGAAGCAGAGCGTGGAATGTTGGTACATTGTTGTTGTTTTGTAGTTAATTCAGTACGAGGATACACCACTACCCTCCTGCCGCGTCTCGCCGACTGGGTCAACTCACTTCGCCGCTTGGATAGGAAACTTACTCCGGTACCTTTACGCATCCCCGACTACACATATCCGCGTTCACAGAGGTATGGTTGTTGTTTTTTTTGTTTTTTCTTTTTCTTTCTTTCTTTCTTTTTTTTTCTAGAATATGTTTTGACATTCCTCAGAAAATTGCTGAAATGTGTCACGCTGATGTATAGGCGCAGACACGCTGGTGTTAGATTCACTGGCCGGTTAGGAAGCTTATTGGTAGTGGTTCTGGAAGTTTATGTTGACTTGGTGGATTGTTTGAGCCGAGAGGACCCGGTTGGGTGCGGGAAAAAAAAAAAAAAAAAAAGAAATAGTGCACAGAAAGTGAGTGCATTTGAAGTGAGGAAATTATCAGAACTACTGAAGATGTTTTCCCTCTTTTTATTATTGTTACTTTACTAAAGTACAGCCATAAAAAAATACTTTAATTTATCATCCTTAAGTTTTTTATAGTAAAATAATTTGCATGTTTGAAACCTTTGAAAATAAACTAGCATCAAAATAGCCTATAACAGCATTGCGTCAAAGCTGAACACTCACTTAAAAATGACAAGACCATCGTATATAATTGAAAACACACTTTTTTAAACTTTTTATAATGGTCGTGTTTTTCAATAAAAACAAAAAACAAAACAAAAAACAAACAAACAAAAAAAAAACATATCGCCAGTCGATCAGGTTTTTAAGGAAAATGGAAGTGAAATAATCCAAGAATTTCCACCTGTCTCTGCTGAAACTATTTCCACGCACATTTTTCACAACCTTATAGGTTGTTTCTAACACTCAATAATAGGTTCCTCCTTTGCAAAATGCCAGTCTACGGTTTTTGACATCGGAATCAACACGTGGTCTGCATTGTAGACATGTGGGAGAAAGGGCACCAGAGACCACCGGGGCTGACTAGTCCGTTGCAGGAGGGAGGCGGGGGAGGAAGGGGCATATTTCCACAAACAATAAACCACTCAAATGGAACAAGTGGCCTTATCTTATCACTTGTTTCATTACGATTTCTGGGGAACAGAAATCATCATTTCTTGGGTCAAGATAAGGGAGACATCCTGTAAGGGCCAATGACATAATGGCACATGATTCTCATTACTTTAGCATTATCTTCTCCACAACATTTTGGACTTGTGGTCCAGTGATTAATAAATGGAAAATATTTGTCTCTCAATGGTTTATTCCACTGAGATCTGCCACAGATCCGGAGCCAGGAGGATGTTCTGATTCACATTTGTTTCTGGTGGGCGCCTTTCAGCCTGAAGGAGGGAGGGGGTAGCGTGTGTATTGCGCTGTCATAAGGTTAACATGTGGCTCAGTCACCAAAGTGATGATGTTTTTTTTGGAGGGAGAACTTGCAACAGCTGACTCATTGTGCCACCAAAGCACTCGAAGAGAATTCCCCCCCGAAACAGGCAGCATATATATATATATATATATATATATATATATATATATACACAGTTTTTTCTCAGGGTTTACCATTTTGTCTGGTCAAATCAGTGTCACTGATTGCACAAGGCGTTGTGGTGAAATGTTGTGAAAGTGAAATATTTGTGGTCACTTATGGTATGATTCACATGGAACACGTTCACTGTGGTGTGTTTTGCTCCTCTTATTGGAATAAAAGAAGTCTTGTTGATAATTACCTTTAAGCATCATACATTTTTAATACTGTTGGATGTACAAAGTGGGGTATAAACAGGAAAAATAACACATAATTGAATGAAGATGTGTTTTTCTTCTTGAAACAGTTCTCTCTGCCACTTAAAATTGCAAATAGTTTTTTTTTTTTTCTCTCTGCTTTTCCTATTAAAGTCTTAAAAGATTCCTTTCAAGCTTGTAATGTTTCAACAGAGCCGGTCTCAGGTTGTCCAGGGAGCCAGGGGCTAATTTCCACCACAGCCCCACTTATGTCAAAGGGTGTGGTGATACATCCAGCTCACAAGACCAAACACACCATTGTGATTGTGAGAACAAGAACAGAATCTATGAATCCTATTTTTTTATTTATTCTTTTGCTTTCATAACCAAAAGTTTAAAAAAAAATCATGGGCCTTAACAAATATGCAATTAGAGTAAAAAATAATAGATTTAAAGAGCCTCTGGTTTTATATTTTGTGATTTCTTTCTTTGATGAATATCTGTTTGGTGTGGGATTTTCCAGTCTATGTCTAATGAGACTATTTTAGATTTGATCTAGAGGTGATCACATTCACTCTAGTCTCATTTTTGTCTTAATAGGAAACTTCAGTGCTGATAGCTAAACTATTGGCCGGCTCAGTATTCTTGCATTACTTATAAATTGTTCCTATGTTACTATGTTGTCACTCCTACAGTTTAATGTTTTCCAAAGAGCATCAAAAAAATTGCCATTTGAATTATTTAAAGTTTAAGTAGGCCTCATGAGTATTTATACTCATGTTGCTAGCCAATCAAACGAGGAATAACTTAAGCACTTTTTTCCACGTGGACTTGAAAATAAGACTTTCAAACAGATAGGTCAAGCTCAAAGCAGTCATCTTCATGTCCAGGCCAGAGATTTTATTGCACTTTCCTAATTTCTCATTTATGCCGAGCATGTTTTTGTTTTGCTTTGAGAGTTTGCCACAGCTTGCTTTGAAGGAACTATTGAGCCTGAACTAATACCTTAAAAGGAGAGCACAGATATATTTAAACAGAGTTTTATTGAACAGACATGAGCAGTGTAACAGACATGAGCAGTGTAACAGACATGAGCAGAGAGTTATGTACCAGCAGTAAATAACTCTCTTTTATTTTGCTTAACAGATGAGATTTTCTTTAAAGGTCTAGCTAAGCAATGCTGGGTCAAAAGCAAAATACACTTTTACCATCTTAAAAAAAACCCCCGGCAACCTCAGAAATGGCGTAGCAATTTCAGAGAATTACTCTTATTTTATCAATCATTAAACAGCTGCCTTGTTTCACTGTTTCTTTATGGGGATGGCATTTTTCCCAACCTGACCTGCGAAATATTCACTGCTATTTTAAATTATTTCCCCCGCAGCTACTGGGGGGACCCTCAGAAGCTGCATGTGACGCTTACACTGTGGGCTGGTTCTGGGTTTTATCTATTCTTTTTTGGCTTCTTACCACTGTGGTGAGAATAAACGGTGATCAGCAGGGCAAACAAATAATCCAAAACATTCAAAGTGGTGGTGTTTTCATTGCTTTAAAAGTTGCAGGAAAACCTCTCAACTATTCACTAAAATTAATGTATGGAACCCTGCTGATGATCATTTTCTTGCTCACTCATATTTAATGTCAGTGTAAAAAAAAAAAAAAAAAAAAGTGAATAGAAGTGCGTGTTTCCTCCCTGCATTCCTAACATTTCTATCCCAGTGTCTGGGAGAATATCTTTTCCGTGAGTCCTCCTCCCTTTCCGCACAAAGGTTCCGGCTGATCGTAGCAACTATTTCCAAAGTTCTCTGTACTTTTCCTTCCTTTCTCTGAAACAACGGGATTTTCCAGGAAACGCCAGATCAGGAGGGTGTGATTCCCTGCCGCTGGTCGTCGCTTTTACCCGTAAACAGCATGACTCACCATGCAGTTATGCTCTCCGTTTCCTTTGCATAACATCCCACCAAATGTGCTGCGCTGGAGAAAGAGCAGAGTGCCACGCACGTCAGTCGGGAGCAAAAATCTCCTCGCATTCTTGAATAAGTGTGGGAAAAGCTTTCTTAGAAGAGTCTAGACAAATCTGTTTTCTGTTTACTTCAGACTTATAAAGGAACAAAGACAAGTCAGCTCTTTTTTAGCTCCAGAGTATGAGCTCATAACCCTTTTGATAAGCTGTTTATTTTAGGAGGCAACTGGGCCCCACAGTATCATGCTGTAACCAAGATTTGGTAATAGTTGGTGTCACTGATCATGCGGAAAAGTTTACTGAACCTCTTTTTGAGTCAAGTTGTTTTGGATTCACTCGTCTTGTTTCTATTTGCCTTCTTATGCTAATGCTAAGCGCAGGCTTTTGGGTGTCAGAAGTCTGTTAGAGTCTCCTTCTAATAAACTGCATATTTAGTTGAAACAAGTTATTTTAATTTACATAACCTTTTGTCTTCACTGACTTTATATAAGATGGGGAAATTTTTAAAATGTCAGAATGATGAGAATTGTTTTTGACTGATTGATTGATTTTTTTAATTTACTTCGAATTTGGAATGTTACTCTGAGATTTGCTACTATACCTGTAAATAGTCTGGAAAAGCCCAGCTGATGATTTCATAGATTTATAAACTTCTTTTTAAATTATTTAAAATGATGACATGTCTGTATATGTATTTACATGGAAACCATCAAATGCGCTGTTTCGTTGTATGATCATTGAATCAGCTAAGATCAGGAAGAGATTTATGAACCTTAATAAGTCTTAATAACCCTTCATCTCAGTGTCTCAGTGTCTCTAACCCTCTTGTGAGTTTTAACATCTCAGTTACAAAAAAAAAAAAAACACATAGTGTGGGCATGAAAGGATGTTAAAGTTTATCCTACATGTTAAACATGTTACTGGGAGCATTGTTTGCACGGAATCTAACATTCTTCAAACAAATACTGCATTTAAGTAATTTGTTGCACTAACTGATATTGTGATTGCTGTGAAGCAATATGTTGTGCAGCTCTGTCAACCTCATATTAAAAGCAAATGAAGATTCTGGCTGAATTTGGCGAGATCAGTTCATTATCCACAGAGTAACAATTCCTGTGCTGAATGATCTGAAAGAGCATTCAGAGGAAGAAGCCATAGCTCCAAAGGTGGCACAACAAAAAGACAGATTTCAGTTGCAAATACGGGAAGTATGGCCTTTTGATTCTCTGTTGAAATTAAAACTGAATATGTCTAAACTTCCAAAATTAAATAAATTAAAGAAATAACCTGCTAAGAAAATCTTGCTCTTTATTATGGCCTTTCGCAAACAAATATTTTTCTAATGCTAGAATTCCAATAACACCAAACGTTTTGGCTGATTATTTGTCAGACATTTGGGGGACAAAGTTTTAGTTATACATTTAAACGTTTAAACAGATCCACTAAGAATGTGCACAGCTCTCTCTCTAGTGTACTGCTGAGTAAAAGTTATCCTTAGCTATTAGTCACTAGACATGCTTCTGCAGTGATGAAACATATGGAACCTGAGAGTTAAAAGTGGTCTGTATTGTTTATGTTTCCTTCCTCAAAGAGTGATGGTGAAGTGCTTGCTTGCACACATGTGCAAAGGGTGCAGATGATTTGTTTGGGCAAGCAGTGGATGTGAGACTCTTCTGAATTCCAGACATTTTGGAATATTTGCAACCATTATGCTAAGAGTGGGGATATTGCGACCCCCTTGCCCCATACACGAGTACATCACAGAACATATTTCAGAATACATGCGTTCTCTCTCCCGAGAAGATTTACCCATACGCATGTGAGGGATTGCACATGTGTGCTCGCTCAGGAATGAAATTTTGTTTTTTTTTTTTTTTTTTTTTTTTTTTTTTTTTTTGTACCCGCCATCTGCGGCTTTGCTTTGAGGAATTTACTCAGGCTGCCTTATGGAAAACCTGATCTAAGTCGGTTTCTTGACTGTGTTGAGAAGCCATGTTTTGTTTGTGTCTCGTCTTTACGAATGGATTTGGTTGTGTGACATAATTGCCACTTTCCCTCTGAGGAAACTTGATTATGAAAACCATACCGGCGTGCAAGTTGCAAAAAGAATAAGCACATGGCTGAAGAATTTCAGGGCAACAACTCGTCTTCTGGATTCTGGCCGGAGGCTCCTTTTCAAGAAAGGGAGGCCCTACACCACTTTTTCAAGACTTTCAAGACAACAAATATAACAAGGGATCCCTTTTGACACAATACTACTCAAAATTGTCTCGCTATAGACCAACTTGTTTCAGAAAATACTTCATTTTATCCCTCCGTCAATATTTAAAGCTTCTGAAATATCGATAAAGCGATGCTCTCTAGTGTAAATGAGACATTAGACCGGATCGTTCTCAAAACTCTACACACACATAGTTTAACACCTTTCATGTATTTTGCTTCTGTTTATTTTCCGTTTAACTGTTCTAAGGGAAGTTCTTGACGTTGCAGAGTATCATGGTTGTTTTTCAGTTTCACTTCCCTGCAGTTTTCAACCGCATTCTACAAACTCTTGAATTAGCATAGACCTATTTATGACCTAAAATGTGAAAACATGATGAATATCACGGAGTGAAACACTGCAGCACCCGGAGCGTTTTTTTTCGAGTGAAAGCTGCATTTCAAAGCGCTGTAGAGGATATTTGTTCTCCCTCTGAAGTATCACTTATCACATACTTGCCTAGATTTGTTTAGTTGGCAGAATTTTATGTCAGCAGTGTGAGCTAAAAATATCCACTAGAGTTAAATAAGGGCATGGAGCAGTTCAGGAAAGCCCAATGTAAGAGGATCCAACTGGAGAGAGACGGCCTTAAATCGATAGACTACATTGTCTCTCAACAAAAATACATCACTGACTGTAAAGGAAACTATTTCCCTGTGACATTCTCCCTCCTGGAATTTTCCACCGCTGTACTCCTCTGTAAAGTTCAGCATAACTGCAAATGTTATACTGTTGTGGGATGAAAGAGTGGAGCACTGCAGCCTGACGGTAGACCCACAGACATCATATTAAAGGATTAAACACTCTGCAAAAGACGGGATACGAGCTAACTGGCAAAATTAAGAGAAATATCACAGACGCTAAGTTTAAGAGAGAGTATTATGATCACATTTAAGAAAGTTTGAGTTTCTTGTTAGCACTATCCAAGGGCCATACTGCGGTTATGAATGAGAGTTGTTTACCCTTTTGCTGACCATGTGACTCACGCTCCCACGCCCATTCACAGGGCGTTTCCATGGTAGCTGTGGAGCATGGAACAGTGAACTCCCAGTCAGGCTGGTCTGCAGGTTCTGAAATGGAGCCTTGGGGGGATGTGTGCCACACTTGCTCAGTTTTTTTCTCCCCTTTCCTTTTTCTTGTTCTTTGGTCATAAGAGCAGCCTGAGAAACCTGTTCCGCTGTATAATAAGTGCCAAGGGGGCTTTAAAAAAAACAAAAAAAAAAACAACTCTGACGGACACACAGAAAGTTTAAATCTTTAAAGAGTTCTGTGAAAGAAAAACCTGGTGGGGCTTAGCTGTTTTATTTCTGCTTGTTCTAATGAACAAGTTTGGCTCACCTCACTCTTAGCAGAAAAGACAAACGCTGTCAAAAACTGATGAGGTTTAACGTGGAGGCTTGCTGCCATCTGCTGGCATGTGTAAGCCAAGCTACTGTCAAAATTGTTACAAGGAGAAAAAAATATATAATACACTAAGGAGACCTAGTCTTCAGTAAAGCTTATAGTGAGATTGGGACATTTGTTGGTCTTTATTCAATGAAGTGAAATGACCAAACTTTAATTAACCTAACCTATGCATTACATGACAACCAGTTTAGAAACATACAAGATTTTACTTGAACAAGTGTTGTTTCTAGCCAATGTGATGGGTTTTGCTGATAAAGAGCAATCAAAGCTTTTTAGAATTGTATAGGTGTCATATTAGAATTCTATAGTTATATAAAATCAGATCTACAAATAAATAAGCTTTATTTCCAAAAGTATTTCCTCATCTATCCAAATAATTGTATGTTGTTCAGATGTTTAGCAATAGTCTTGCTCGATACTCTAAAACAAATGGCATCAAAAACTGGTGATTATGACCATTCAGTTCAAGGACAACATTCATTATTGGGAGTGAGATTTGTCAGGGCAGAGCGAGAAATGGAAAGAAAACCTAGATTCTCAGTTCAAATGAATCCGCTTTTGGCAACTCTGAAAATTGTCCTCCGTCGACGAAAGTGGAATGGGTAGCTGGTACTGATAAGGTCAACTAAATGTGCTGCCAATCACCTTTAACATGCTGCTCTCCAGCTAGTTGAAGTTAAACGGTCTGTTTTTTATCCGTTTCATTTTCAGTGCAACTTCTGTGAGGTTCTGGTCAGTTTTCTGCATGCAGGGAATGACGACTCATTTCAAGACAAGCAAAGCTTTAAGGGTAAGCCTCATGAATTTAAGAAATGCTTCATAAAATTGCTTTCGCACGTGGAGTTGTTCTTTACTCACTACCCACCTCCGGCAGGTCAAGAAGGAGACGGGTGAGAATGCCCCGGCGCTTAGCGACGATGAGTTGGTGGCCATGTCGGTGCGGGAGCTAAACCAGCACCTGCGTGGACTGACGAAGGAAGACGTCGTCCGGCTGAAGCAGCGGCGACGGACCCTGAAGAACCGAGGCTATGCAGCCAGCTGCCGCATCAAGCGTGTCACCCAGAAGGAAGAGCTGGAGAGACAAAAGACAGAGCTGCAGCAGGAGGTGGACAAGCTGGCCAGAGAGAATGCTAGCATGAGGTTGGAGCTGGATGCGCTGCGAGCTAAGTACGAGGCCTTGCAGTGTTTCGCCAGGACTGTGACCCGGGGGCCAATCTCACCCGGCAAAGTGGCCACCACCAGCGTCATCACCATTGTCAAGTCAGCTAACCACAACACCAGCCCCACCCCGTTCTCAGCTCCCTCCTAGTGCTGACAGGACTGGGCTTTCCCTTCTTTTGCCTGGTCTTTGCTGGCTCTGACACATCCTGAAGCCAGTCATCCTGTACTGAGAGGATCCTCAGTAGTTTGTTAGACTGAAGGATCGGATGCCAGGCTCTGTCACGTAATGCTGCATTCACAGTTCTGTCTCCGTTCGCCTGCCTCTTACACAATCTATACTGTCTGCACACTGTTCACAACCCCGTCCCGACCCCCAGCACCGGCAGGGTATTGGGCCTCTGTGACCCGACCTCTGTGACTGATGGTAGAGATTTATTACAGTTTGTCTTACTGGTGTAATACTTGATGCTGCAGAACATAAAATACAAATGATTTGACTTTATGGGAGTATAGCTATTTGCCATTTGTGTAAATTTACATAAAAAAAAACTGTAAATTTTGAAGCTGTTGCCTTAAAGATCTATAAGTACTCTACAACTAACATGCAGTTCAGCACAACAAGGTGTTAAATTTCCCAGGATTAAAGTCTAGAGGTTTCTCAATAGTTTCCAGTGATATAAGAGATGGATGAAACTGAAGTTTTCTCAGATTTTAATTTGTTCTTGAGCTTGTTTAGCTTATGCTAATCCATAAAAGAAGCTGTTAAGGGGATAACTGACAAACATATATTTGTGTTTCATGTTTGGACAACCCTGGTGTGGGTAACATTAATTGGAAGGCATTGCCAAATCCAGAGGATCTCTCCTCCATGTTTGCTTCAATTATGAAACATACCTAAAGGTCCTAATTTTTTTGCCATTGTAGATTATTTTTGTTAAAAAGGTTAAAAGGTATTAAAGTCATTGTAAAGTTTGTTTGGGAAGTGTTGGGTGTAATTCTGATGGCTATTTTATGGCCCCCTGACTTTTTTTTTTTTTTTTTTGGTAACATTAACAGGTTTTAAACCTTTTTGCAACTCAACTTAAGACTAACTTTTTTACATTTGAATGTGCTTCGAAAGCAGATTGAGCTAAATTTGCTTGTAATAATAGCATTTACTTCATTATAGCACTTATAACTGTAACGATACAGTATAAAGTAAATTACAAGATGCAACAATGAAATTATTCTTGTATGTACTGGGGCTTAAATGTGCGATGATGATGATGATGTGATGGGAATATTTAGTGGAAGTCTAAAGTTAGCAAGGATGGTAAACTCTGCTGCACTTGCAATGTTTGGTGGGTAATCCATATTGGATATAGTGATAATGAAAGTAGTCCTTGTAAAAATCAACTTTCTTCCTGTATATTACAGATTAAAGGTGACAAATCCTCTTCTAGTTATATTGTCACTTACGTTGATAAACTCCGTCCAGACATAAAAAAAAACAACAAAAAAAACTCATTCCTACCGCTGGGTCACAAGAAGTGCTGCTGCTGCCGGTGTTGGTATTTTTTTTTTTTTACAACCAGTAGCTATTTACTTTGCATCTGACACACTCTTCTTCTACAAGAGAAACTCCTGACGCTTGTCTTCACAAAAAACATATGTTAAATGCAGTAAATGCCTTTTTCTCTCTATGAACATCTTGCATTATTTAAATATAAAGATGACTTGAAAACAAGCTGTTCCTACAGAGGATCCATTCCTAAATTGGAGTCAATGCAATAGAGATTGCTCATGTCAGGATTTTTTCTTGCCTAAGAAGACATGACTGTTCTTCCCCTGTTCAGAAGCTGCAAAGAACAGAATGGGGAACTATGCTGCTGTACAACCTGCTGTGATTTTATTTTGTTTAAGCAGGGGCATTGCTGTGTTCTTAGTCCTTGAATTTTCACCCAGTTCTTTTATGTCCTTTGTTCTTTTTCTGATATCAGTTTTATACAATACACATACAAAAAAAAGTAAAATATATATATAAATATATATATATACATATACGTGTATATTACTTATTTTTCTGCCTTTCACTATTCTGGGAGTGGTGTGTCTGTGTAATCACTCACTGAAGTTAGTGACATTGATGCTGACCGTTTTCAAATTGTACTCACATTTACGAGACGACTGTGTTTATAACTTAAAACCTTTATGTATTTATACTCGACGATTAACTACTTAAGGTTACATTTAGTTGGCTCATAACCTGCAGCCTTGCAAACAGTGGAAATTGCAGTTACGTCAAATAAAAGCTCATTTAGAACTATTAGTAATGCACTAGTGTTAGGGAGATGTGAAGTGGACCTCAGTAGAATGTGATCAAGCAATAAACCATATTATAGAATCCTTCAGTGCACATTTTAAAGCACACATTTACGTTCCCACAGAGACAAGTGTTGTGAAGACTTGGAAAATGAAAGTGCATCGTCAGAGAGTCTTTAAACTTCCACGTTGAATATTTCTTAAGAGTTTATAAGTTTTATGTGTAAACCTGGTGCAGACACCACAGGTTTTGAGGTGTACTCCATGGTAGTGATGCTTTTAGTGCTTTATGTATTCAGCACCGTTAACCCAGACCTGTTAATGTGATGGTGTGTTTCAGTCCTAAAGTCAAAACCAATATCGTTCTGTTTGCGTCAGTCAAGTTTTACATATTCATGACAAATAAAATGCAAAGTATTATGCTGACCTCTAGTGGTAAATCTTCAAAACTATTTATACACACTTTAACACTGAATCTGAGACTGGGGTGATTGATTTTGCACACACCTTAATATTATACGTCTTGTTTCCTATTTTCCCATATAAAAATAAAAATATTCCTTAGTCAACTAAGAGACAAACCTTTCTTTGGGTGAGTTAAATACACAATCACTGTATCCAGGCCAAGATACATGATGGTCTTTTATTTTATACAAATCAATAGAAAATGTTTTTCCAATTAAATTGAACGGATGTTAGACAGAAATCTAGAAGGCTTTATTTGTGAGACGAGGCACAGCTATCTTCCTGCCGTAGATGTTTACTAGACTTAGTCCAGACATTTTTCTTTCCTCTTACAGATTGTGAATATATTTGGCAACATCCAGAAGTTAAATTACCTTCCGCCCAATACTTTTATATGAATTGTACATATATAGAGAAGTATATATAAAACTTGTATTTTGATGAAAATGTAAGAACTTTTATAGATTTTCTTTGAACATGTCTGATTAAATAAGCTTTTGACACCAGCTTTGCCAGTCTACAAGCTACTGTTTAAATTCAACCATGTAGAGAATAGGCTAGAATACAGAAAGGGTGACAAAAATCAAATATGGTTTTAGTAAGTGCAGTTTGTTTTTTAGCCAAATTAGCTTGAAAAGGAAGAGTTTTTTATAGTCTCACAGCAATAATTTGAGGCCAACTAGTTGCCATCCATACTAACCTTGAACAGTTAATGGCAGCATACCAGTTATTTACCCTTTAAACTTGTCAATCTGCTCATATGTTTTGTATTTATTTCATTGGTTTGTGTAGGTGTGTAAAAGAAGAACAGCTAAATTATTTTTATTTTGCATTTATTTACATGTTTTCTCAATGAACTACCCTTGTGTACAAATAAAACATTTTTTCTGCCCTGATTGAAATGAAAATATGGTAAATTATTCCTTTTAGTAGTATTGATGTGTTTTTATACCTCTAAATAAAATTTTCCTCATCAAAATGTTCAGTTTTTGTTGCATTAAAGCTTTAGAAAAGTCAAATTTGAAGCCAGTTTAGCACTACTTTGTACATTTATGTTAATAAATGCCTTCCCAGAAAAAAAAAAAAAAAAAACCAAAACACATACACATTGGCACAAGTTAAAAAAATAACTTAACAAAAAGGTCCCTGAAAAGCTATACTTGCATATAGATTTAACCATAAAAATTGAGAATAAAAAGTAAAATGTATAAATGTTCAATAGTTGAAATGGCCCGAACTTTTCACAATAAATAGAATAAAAATGTTCACAATTACATATTTGTACACAGACCATACTGAGCAGTACAATTAACACTAATCAACTTGTGAACACATTTCATGACCCTTGCAAGATGGGATAACATGAGCATTGAAATGAAATCATAAAAACTACACAAAAAATAGTCACAATAGAGAATATTCCTTAAGAAAAAAAAAAAAAAAAACTTAGCCTGTATTACATGGCTGTCTATTTGGGCTACTCTTTAGCATGCTGAGAAAATTAATGAGATGATCCAACTTCCCTCTTTGTAGACAACGGGTTTATCTAATTTATGCCTGCTATGGTGGATACAAAGGATAGTGAAGTGCAGTTTGAATTGCCTGCTCCAAAACTAATACGTCTTTGAACAAAAGCCTTTCATTCGTCAGGAAACCATGCCGAGGAATGCTCAGCAAATACTTCAAACAAGCAGATGTGAGTAACGGTCCATGAAGTGCCATTCTCAGCCATTGCCGGCTTCCCCTGCCTCCCACCTGGAGTCACATATTAATCATCCGCTCTTTGAAACTGACATGATTCAGATGGAACGCACTTCAGACAGCCAGAGAGGCTGCCGTGGCGAGATGGCGCGGACGGAGTCGGTGTCGGGGGGGGGGGGACGCAGCTGAAAATCCGGCAGCTTGATTTAAGGGAAGCGCGTGGCTCCTGAATCGTGTGATGAAGTGAAGATGACATGTCATTTTCTAGATTATCGCAGCGAGATGGAGACGGATAAGTTGTCGGTACATTCAGCGGCGAAATTTAAAACTCAAAATTTCATGCACATCCTCTGATTAAAATCATCATTACAGAAGCAGGTAGTCCTGTCTAAGTACTTGCGAAAATGAACCGCCTGTGTTCAGCCCAGCTCTGTGAGTAATGTAACACAGCTTTTTTTTTTTTTTTTTTTTCCCCCCCAGGGGGTCAGAGGTAAAGGTGGAAAGGGCACCAACACCTGGGTCTCTTGCTGGAAAAATGCCTAGAACTCATCATCTGATGTAATCAGCATGATTTTGTCAGACTTGCGAGAGCTCTTGTTGCCCGTGGCCACTTTTCCATTAGTGCTGGGCTGGCTGACCTCCTGTGTGGATTGCTGAGTGTACTGTTGATAGGCTGGCGAGAAGTTGTGGATGGCGTCCTGAACCATGTCGCCTGGGTTTATGGTTTCCTTCAAGCCGCTGGAGATGCTCTGCATTGGGGGAAGATTCTCTGCAGAAACAAAACGATAAAGTTTTTTGGTTTTTTTCCATGTACAAAACTGTGCTGTTCCTTTTTTTTTTGCATGGCATAAATAACAGTGAAGGTAGGTGTAAAAAAAACAAAAAGCAAGAAACTTGTCACTTATCTGGAACCAGAAAGATTATGGTAATTATATCACATTTAATGTGTTCATTACAATCTTTTTTCTTTGCCTTCTTGTTTTATTATCTGGGTTGTTGCTTCTTATGCTCCTAATCTGTGCTTTTCTCTGTCGCCTCATTTCTTCGGTGTCCTTTACCAAGAATGCTCTGAAAACTGAAGCTTGGTGTCCTAATGTGCGGTCACTGGCCATCTCAGGCCCCAGGGCTGCTTGTTCCTGATCTGTGACTGATGGTCCATCTCTGCAGCCCATTCCTTCCAAACTGTCATGCCCAATGTTCATCTCTGCTTTGAGACATCCTATATTCATTATCATGCCAGCCCACTCAGCTGTAATATAACTGACAATTAGCAGTGACAGTAATAACGACTTGTTCATAGGATTAAAACAGTAATCCTTAAGAGAACAATGTGCACCTTCAAAAGCGTTTCCATAATTACTACCTTGAATGCTAGATATTTTTCCCTTTATTTTATCCTCTGTCAGTCTTCTACGTACCATGCCTCACTTTCATGCATCGTTTTGGTTGTATCCGGCTTGGATGGTAATTTGCTTTATCTCTCTTTTCCTTTCCACCTCCCAGCTGCCCTCAGGCTCCTAGTATGTGAGCCAGTTTCTTCTGAAGGTTTACTCTGGTTAAATACATTTAAAAACGGTGCTTTTCCTTACGACTGCCTTTAGAGCATATCTAAACCAATGTTGCTTATGGGTTTCATTGCTTTATGTTCTACCACTAAATTATTCTGTTACAACACATTGCAAAAGTGAAATATTCATAACTCCATTTAGATTGTCTACATTTTGTCACTACACAACAACGATAAAAAAAAAAAAAGCAATGACATGAATGTTTTAAAGCAAAGAATGTTTTTGTATCAGAATGGCCCAAACTGTGTGGCAAGACTTAAAATTGTCCATCAAGGACAATCCATCCAATCTGATCGAACTTTAGCAATTTTCCAAGGCAGATTAATTTAGTTTTCAGTTTATGTGCACAGCTGGTGTAGATGTACTCCAAATGACTTGCAACTGTGCTTGCTGCGAAATGTGGTTCTACAACGTATTGACCTTAACATCACACCTTGTACATATTTCTTTTAGTACAAGCCAATTTTCTTCTACTCCACAAATCTGATACTTATATTTTTTTGATTATCAACAACAACAACAACAAAAAAAAAAAAATCCTACCATAAAGCTTTTTATTTTTTGGAGGAGTTATGGTGCAGGAGCGGCCTCGAAAAAACATGAGATTTTTGATGGTCAGAGAATACTTTTGCAAGACAGCGTAGAATAAATTATGTGTACTACGGCTTCAACGGCTTCAGCTCGGCTGCACAAAAAAAAAATTTGCATTGAGCAAATCAAGGTACACTGCATCAATAAAGCCACACTGTTGTAAGCTGTGCAGAATGAGGTCTGCAGAAGCAATCACAGACCCAGACCAGGCAAAGGAATTAACATTACCATACAGATTTTATGGCGCCTGAATACTTTGCAGCCTTTTGCACCCAACAGTCATAACCTTTGCAGTCAGTTTTCTGAAAAATCCTTAAGTCTTTTCATTGTTGTGCCTCCCAGATGTTAAAGGAATGAACACTCTTTGTGATTTCACATAGACTCTGTTCTTCTCCCTTTCATTGTTCAATAAATGCAACTCATGTAGTTGAAGCTCCTTTTAGATCCAACCCAGACACCCACAACATTCATGTGGCATGGATCCAAACAGTGGTTTGTTTAAAAAAAACAAAAAAAAAAAAAAACATCTCAACTTTTGTACAAATAGACTTAAGATAATTTAGAAACAGATGAGATGTTTGCGAGAATCTCAAATTCTTTGGTGTCTTTTCATGTTCTCAGGGCATGCATTCAAAAGTCTTTTCTTACAGAGGTAAAGAGGAAAACAAACAAAAAGCAATAAAACCCTAAGGTATAATCTTTCAAATGCTTTTGCCTTCATCAACATCAGAGCTGGAGAAATAAAAGCTTCAGTTAATGTCAACTATTCTGCCAGGCTTTGGAGAACGCGTCGGCTTTACAACACTGTTTAAAAGGCCAAGCTATGAGTTAAAGGTCAGTGTGACTGGGCCAGCAGAACGAGATCACCAAAGAAATGCTGCTAGAAACACTTTCAAGAATGTCATCGGAAATGCGAGAAGGGCAATTAGCCTGGAAACACGTCAATATAGTTTATTTGTTGCGACAGCAGTGCCCATTTTCAACTAACGCAGCTCACCTGGCACATCGTTTTTCTTCTCCTGGTAGACGGTGCAGGTGAAGGCATATCGGAGCGCAATGGCCGCAAAGAACATTTCGATGCAGATGATGAAGTTCTGCCAGCCGGCTGCAACGGTTCCAGCACCCACATTATGTCCGTCGATGAAAAGTGCGTTGGGAATGACCCCACACCGCTCCAGGATAGCAAGGACCATTCCTGCGAAAAGAGCAACATTTTACCCATTCATTTGTAGCTTCATGCACCGGTGGCGACCAGATTTCTATAAAAATAAAAACACACACACAAAATAAGAGGGATGAACTTACCTTGCCAGAAGGATAAAAATATGACAGACTTTATTGTGAGGAATTTGAGCACTGGTTCATACGGTCTGAGCAGGTCACTTGTGGCAAAGTAGAAAAGGAAGAGTGCGTAGAGGGCCAGGCTCACAGAGAAGTTGTAGATGATTGTGATGTACAGGTAGCCTCCATTAACACTGCATTGAGAGGAAGTGGAACAGCATTTAAATATTTGCCTAAGCATAGGTGTAATTCCATGAGTGCATGAGAGAAGCAGGCAGACTTCCACATTTGATTGTTTCTTGTTGCACTCGAACAGAGCTGCTACGATGATTCAGCTGTGACAGCGCTTAATAAACCATTGCAGAACAGAGCGCATGGTATGATGAAAGCATAAGAAAACAATGAGTGATTCATCGTGGTCTTGCAGCAAAGCTTGGAGGAAGATGTGACGTATGTGGATGAATAAGAAAGGGAATGAATTAAGAACATCTTTAGGTTTGATATGAGGGTGAAGAAGAATGCTAACTGGAAACTTGTGTATCAAGCACTCATTAAGGTCTGCTTCCTTTATGTAATTTTGAAACAAGTGTTGTCACAGCTGACTCTTCAGATAGAGATGCTGAGATGAGGAGGTTCAGAAGATATCTAATGAAGAATTTAGAAGAATTTATATATGCTAATTCACCCTCCTTATGTTAAGAGCTTTGCTCTTATCCGAAGCCTTGAAACTTTTACTAAACTTTCTGAGTGCAATTTATGCCCATCTTTTACATGAATTATATACAAGTGTAAAATGGAACGGTCTTTTTTTCAATTTAAAGTACGCCAGTTAATTACAACCCTTCGTTCCAAAGCAAAAGTTGCAATATCACATTTGACCAAATATAACAGACTGATCCCATAACTTTGAGCTCAAGTCAACCATTTTTATCATTCTCCCTGCAAAGAGGCGATATGCCTATCTCCATTTCCAAATTGTTTACATGTTCACAGAAGCAGCAAAACAAACCCTCTGGAAACTACATGCGCCAGTGGGATACACAAGAGAATGAAATGCAATAAAAAAAATAAATAAAATAAAAAAAAGGAGGTGCTGCTCACTTAAAATCTCCGTCGTGATATTTGCCGAAGGCCTGTAGGATGATGGTGATGGCCGCCATGATGGGTTTGACAGCACAGAACTGGAGAGTCGCCTGGAGGTTACATGACAATTCAGAATGGCATACCAAGAGACAGCAAGCAAGGGCAAAACCAACAAGGATGGGGGCATCAGAATGAGGTTGGGAAAATGTTTAGGACTGCTCAATGACGAGCAGTTTTTTCCTCATCATCACAAACAAAAACATGTTGATTTTACTTTACTGAAATACATTTGTTAGTAATCCCTCATACCAAAGATCCCAATTTTGTCATATCATTAAAAATGTCCCTGTATTCAAGTTTTATGTTATAGACTAACAAAAGGAAGCAAGAAATTACAAAGAATGTCATGCTTCTTGGACGGAAACTATTGTTTTTGTAACTGTTTTCTTAGTAAGCATCTAAAAATATTTGAAGCTGGCTTTGCTGTGTCTGCTTGAGTAAATGCTTAGAAAATCTCTTTTTGCATTATTTGCAACAGCAAGTCATTTTTTAATTAGTCTATACCAGCTTTGAGGACTTAAAACCTGATTGGTCTATTGTTACAGCTCAAGTTCAGTCAGATTGGCTACAAACCATCTGAACATCAACCTTTATCTCTTGCCAGTTTCTGAATTTAATTTGGATCTGTACTTTGACTAAGCCATTCTGACAAAACGAAAATTGTCTTGTCCAAACCATCCAATTGCAGCTCTGTATAAACCCATGGTTGGCAAAACTCACTCTTTGTATATATAGTTTAAGAGTGACTAAATTAATTAAGGTAGTCTTTTCTTTAAAATAATTAGTTTTTTCTTAGTCTGATGTTGATTTAGAAGAACAATAACTCCTGGAAAGAGACAAATTCAAGCCATAGATCCAAAGCATTCCCAATGGCAGGAAAGTAGCACTTTGTGTCATCTACTGAAGTCTGAATAAGCAAATCTAACAGAACCTCTCACATGAAAGTAACTGGCCGGCAGTGTTCAGTTTGATTAGTCAGAGGGAAGCTTCCCATGCTTTGCAAATTGCCATGAACAAGTATTCAAACTGCAGAAAAACTGATTTACTTTGAAGTTTCCAGTGCTGACAGTCACTATTTGCCTTTAACTTGTTGCAGTGCCAGTCTGTCACTCTGAAAATTCTCAAAGCAAAGATTTCAACATGAAACGCTGACATGTCTGGAGTTCAAAAATACAGAGCATGTTCTTGGTTTCTCCCAAAACTTAATCCTCCAACTTGCACTCTTTGGAGATGTATCAGAACTTCATAAGTAAATTTACATGTTGGTACACATCACGAAAAATGATAAAATGTCAATTATGCATGCCTAATTAGGATCATCTTCGAGTCGATGCAAAACTTTGATTTTTATTACTCTACATGTAAAGCTGTGAAATTTAGGTTACATCTTGTCATGGTTGTCATCCCATGAAATTGCCATTTTGTGTTGGTTAGACAGTCATTAGTTAATACTCTTTCTGGTGTAATATAAACTATTAAACAGTAAAACTCTGCACTTAATTCCTAATTTATTGGGATCTTGTACAACAACTGTGCCAGGGGTCTGCAGGGTTCTTTTTTTCTGCCCAATAAAATAAAACCTTCCTCAAGCATATAACAATGACACACTGAAATGTCAAAAAGCAGTTTAGCATGTAAGAGCAGCCCGCCCTCGCCCTTATCATCAAAACCCACAGTAACTTCAAGCTGCTTTCCCATATCAGTGATTGAACTGGTAAACTGCCTTCTAATGACACTAAAAAGATTTCCAAATGTGCAGAGACTGCTCATGTTAATAACCTCCCCACTCCGTATTTAAATAGGAGGGAAGGTCTATCAGATCTGCTGCATTGGTTTGATTTAAAAAGTATAGCTTCAAGGCACTTTTAAAAAGATTTGTTCTCATATGTGCCATTTTATTTCTGTAAACTCCAGAACTATTGCTTCTAAAATAAGGGCATAAAGAGCTCAGAATAAAGACGGACGCTTCTGAGAACGCTGGTTCGTAATTAACACAAGGAGTCCAATGGATGTAGACCATTTACCGCATACTTCTGTGTGGTTGCTCATAAATCACCAACTTGGGCCGCAGTTCAGCCCTTATAAAATCGCTTCCAAACTCTTGAACGGGTTTTACTGCAGTTATTTCTGTTCCTTCAGCATGTTCCCCCCCCCCCCCCCCTCCGCCTTTTTTTTCTTTCCCTACCTCCACCCCTTCTTTAATTTTTTCTTATCATTG